CGCACGCGCGCACACGCGCGCACGCGCGCACGCACACGCGCGCACGCGCGCACACGCGCACACGCGCACGCAACACGCACACGCACACGCACACGCCACACGCACACGCACACGCACAAGCACACGCACAGCACACGCACACGCACACGCACACGCACACGCACACGCACACCACACACACACACACACACACACACACACACACACACACACGCACACACACACACACACACACACACACACACGCACGCGCGCACGCGCGCACGCGCGCACGCACACGCACAGACACACACAAACACACACACACAAACACACACAAACACACACACAAACACACACACAACCACACAAACATACAAGCACACACACACACAGAAACACACACAAACACACACACAAACACACACAAACACACACAACCACACACAAACACACAACCACCCACAAACACACACACAAACGCACACACACACACACACAAACACACACACAATCACACACAAACGCGCGCGCACACAAACACGCGCACACATACGCACACACAAACACACACACACACACACAAACACACACACAAGCCCTTGCCCAGGGTGAGGGTGTAGGGGGACGGACCAAACGAACCACAAGCAGCTAACGGTCTCGCGCATTACCGCCCGCCCTCCCAACACCTAAATCGTCCCCGAGTCTCAGCACGGACAGTCGCCGCCATCGACAACCGTCGGGAACCAACGCAGACGCCAGCCAGACCCGCGAGGTCGGCGAGGCGAGCCGCAAATGCCAGGAGCGTCGCGCGCGCCAGGTGCGCCACACTGGGCAGTATGTCGGCCCACCCACCGTCCCTGTCAAAATCCACTGCGAAGTGACGGCGGGTTTGGGGTGTGCGGGTGTGCGCCCACGATGCAGTCCCGCTTTCACACCACCCACTGCTGCATTTGACGGCGTGCAGCGGTTTGTACACCGTGCCTTCGACAATGTTCGATCGCACTCAACAGTTCGCACTGCCATCTGCTGCTCGCGCCTGAGGGCCCTCTGCGCCGCCGGCTTCGAAACAAACCCACGGTAGCTTTGCATTTGTTGTTTGGCAGTCATGGTGGGCCTGCGTGCACCAGGCGGTATGTCGCCCCCTCCCCCCCATCGTTCTTGGCATACTGAATTGTTGTTTCTTTTCCTTGAACGTGTTGGTGGACCTGCACGCAGCAAACACTACGCAGGCAGCCCCGACATCCGTCGGACACCATTGCCACCTGAGCGCGAGGCGCCTGCGCATAATCCAGAATTTGGCGCAAAGTGATCGTTGCACTGTATGTTGCAACTGATATTATGGAGGTGTTGTCGCTCGTTGCGCACAGCGCGCGATATGCTGCACACTTCGCTGTCCCGTGAACAAAATCCATACAAGTGATCGCGGGTCGTCCGCGTATGAGATTTTCGTGTGAAGTGATGACGGGGGGTATTTTTGCGCGCAGCAATCAATACGCCGACGCCCTCGCCGTCCCGGTCAAAAACCGTGCAAAGTGGTTGCGGGGCGCCCGCACGTGTTCCAGTTTAGGAGGCAAAATGTATGACGTGCTGCTTTTCTTGAAAGAGATGGAAAGGGGGGAGGAATCGTGGGGTGGTGTTTTGCTCTGCGCGCAGCGAGCAATCTGCCAGCACCCTCGCCGTCGCTGGCAGAAGCCACTGGGAAAGTGGTCGTCGGGCGTCCGCGCCTGCTCCAGCTCGGAAGGCAAAGCGTATTTCGTGCTGGTTATTTTTGTTGCAGGGGATGGAGCGGGGGGCCTCCATGGGTGCCCCGGTGGGCCCGGGTTGTCGGGCGAAGGGAACTATGCACATGCACCGATCCTGGCAAGGCCCATTCTTGACCCAGGATCGGTGCATATACCTTCCTAGCCAAGGTAGGAGGGCGTATGCACCGAGCCTGGGCTCAGGGTGGGCCTGGCCAGAATCGGTGTATGTGCATAGTTCTGTTTCCTCTAGGTTGGCTGCTGGCGGGTTGGGGCAGGGGGTGCTGATTGGCAGGGAGCAGCGATCAAACTGCCCACAAGCCGCAAGCCGCCTCGCTCACTCGCCCGCCCTCCCACCGCATCAGTATTCGTTGATTTTGCTGTGCGTCGTGCCTCCCCACACTTGGGAGACGGGGCCGCCCCTGGGTGGCCAGGACGCGCCCGAGTCTCAGCACGGGCAGGGGCCGCCATCAGCGACCGTCGGGAACCAGTGCAGACGCCAGCCGGGTGCGCCACGTCGGGCACTGTGCCGACCGCCCCGCCATGCCTGTGAGAAGCCATGCAAAGGGACGGCGGGCTTCCGACCTTTGTATGCCGTGGGCGTGTGCACTTGCAATCACCGTGCGCTTGTTCTTGGCAGTCATGGTGTGCCGGCGCACACCAGGCAGTGCGCCGCTACCCCTCCGCCGTCCCTGACAAAGTGGTCTTTGCGTTGTGTTGAGAAGGACTGTGGGCCTACAATCTGCCGGCACCCCTGCCATCCCTGTCAAGAACGAATCCAACGTGAGCGCGGGGCATCCGCGCACGATCCAGACTTGTGGTGCAACGTGCATTTCGCATCGTATTTTGCAGGGGATGGTGTGGGGGCTACATTGCACACAGCAGGCAATCTGATGGCCCCCCCTGCGCCGTCCCAATGAAAAAAAAGCCATGCAACGTGATCGCGGGGCGTCTGCGCATGAGCCAGATTTTGGTTACAGTGCACTCTGTATTTTGCAAGGGGCGGCTTGGGTGGTGTCGGCATGGCGCAGAGCAGGCAATGTGACGGCACCTCGCCGTTCCCGTCAAACATTGATGCAGAGCGATCGCGGGGCGTCCGCGCATGATCCAGATGTTGGTCAAAAGTGGGTTCCGCATTTTTCGTTGGCAAGTGGTGATGCGGGGGCGGCGGCATTGCACACAGCAGGCCATGTGCCCACACCCCGCCGCCCCCGTCAGAGACCGATGCGGCGTGATCGCGGGGCGTCTGCGCATGATCCAGATGTTGGTGCAAAGTGTTTTTTGTATGGTTTTGCATATTTCGAAGAAGAAAAAAGCACCTCAGCATATTCAGCGATCGCCTTTGCATGGGCAGCTATACTGGGAACGAAAGCAGGCCCAACGTGCGCGACGCTGTGGCGAGGTGCGCCACGCGTGCCAGGCGCGCCACGCGCACCAGGCGCGCCAGGCGACCCCGGGGCCCTGGCGTGCCAGGCATGCCTGGTGCGCCACGTGCTCCACGTGAGCCAAGTGTGCCGCATGCTCAAGCCGCGCCAGGTGGGCCACGCTCGGGGCACGCGCAGAGTGTGCCGGATGCACCCGCGCACGTACGGAAACATGTCGGCCTCCACCCTCCTCGCCGAAAAGCAGGGCGCAATCGCGGCCGAGTGGCCATCGTGATGTCTGGCGGGCCTGCACAGCAGATGCGGGTACCCGTGCCCTCCATGTCGAAACCGATGCAAAGTGATCGCGGGATACCCGTACACGATCCAGATCTCGCCGCGAAGTGCGTTTTTTCTGTGACAGGCATGGTGGCCCTGCGCACGTCAGGCCATAAGCCGGGCCCCCTGCCGCCACTGTCAAGAGAAGCACACAGATTGCTCGCCCCCCCTCCCAACGAACATGGCCCAAGATGTTCCCGTGTCTTAACGTAAGTCGGGCCAGCCCCTCTACAGGAGGACTATTCAAAAATAGTTAAAAATAGTATGGGGGCGATTTGTTTTACTATTCTTGTGTATTTTTGAAGCATGCTCGGAGTATCTTTAAAATTTGTCGCCCGAAATCCCCCTGTAGGGGGACAGGCCCGACCGAAGTCTTCACAGGGATGGCGGGGGTTGGGCCTTCATTGTCCCGGGTGTATCGCCGTTCGGGTGGGAGAGGGCTGGTGTGTGTGTGTGAAGAAGGAGCAGCGATCAAGCAGCTACCCCCTCCCTCCCGATGGACGGCCGTCTCGCCCAATCCCACCCGCTCGCCCACCACACGGGTAGCGCTCGAGCCGCAGCATGGGCAGGGGCCGCCTTCGAGCAGCATCGGGAACCGAAGCAGGCGCCAGCCAAGTGCGCGACGCTCGCGAGCGGCGCGTGCCAGGGCACCCCCATCGTTCAGGAGGGGAAAACACACACACAGGCAAAATGAATCGTCGGCTCCCAGGAAAATATGGGAAAATATGGCAAGCGGGGGGGGAGACAAAAACCGAGAAAATATTGGAAAACTTGGGGGAATCCTGTTATTTGTGTGTATTTGTTTGTGTGTCCAGGTCGAAGCACAATTCGAAGTAATCGAGGGGCGCCCGCGCATGCTTGGGAGCGTGTATTTAGTGTTGAATGTTTGTCGGGGGCGATGGGCCTGCGCGCAGCCCGCAATATGCCCGCACCCCCCACGCCCTTGGCCAAAAGCAGTGCAGTGTGATCGCTTGAGGCCCGTGCATGATCCAGATGTTGCCGCAACGTGCACTCTGGTATTGCTTTTGGCAGGGATGGTGGGTGGTGGTGGCATGGTTCCGATCTCGCCCCCGGTCATGTGGGGAAGGGGTGTATATTGAACAGTTGTAAACCCCTCGCCGAAGTGGAACGGTGGGTTTGGAAGATGAAACGCCCTAAACCCATCGCGCCCTAAAAGGCTGGGGGCTTGGGGCGGGTGGGCGTATGGCAGCATTGTTGATGCATCTTCGTGTATTAGGTTCTCCTCCGATTTTCTTCTCTCATCTTTCTCCCTCTTCGACATCCTCCATCCTATCCTCCCCCCATCTCTCCTCTTCTGCCCCCTCCTCCCCCCCTCTTCTCATACAGTCCTTGCTCTCCTCTGTTATTCCCCTATCATGATCTTCGCCCTCCTCCTCCCTCTTGTTCCTCCGGGCTCGTCCTTCTCCTCCCCTCCTTTCCCCTTCCTCCACGGATAAGCTGCTTATCCCTCCTCCTCTCTCCTTGACCTCGATCCTCCTCGTCCTCCTCCTCCGACGTCCTCGCTCCTCCTCCTCCTCTGCCTTTTCCCCTCGCCCTCACCCGGCTCCTCCCCCGCAAGGCCTCCATAAGGAGCATCAACGAGCTCTGCAGCATCACCCGCTGCAGCCTGAGCCAGAACCCGTGGGCGGTGGCGCTCCGGGATTCGACGCGGCCTTCGTCGTCGTCGTCGTCGTCGCCGCCGCCGCCGCCACCGTCGTCGTTGTCGTCCTCCTTCTCCTCGTCCTTGTCATTCTCCTCGTCTTCGTCCTCGACTTGCTACACGTGCTGCTGCTCCTTCTCTTTGCTTCGCCCTCGCCTTATTCGGCGGATGGCACGCGATACGCTGTTCTCCTCTCCCCGCCCCTGCTGCTGCTCCCCCACATTTAGCTCCTGCTCTTTGGAGCCGCGTCCGAAGGACTCTGCAGGCTGATGCCGACGATGACATCGGCTAAGTGCTTCGGGCGGGCGGTAATGGGAGGTGACCTACACAGAGGGTGAAGCACAGGGCGCTGAAGGGGCATTTTGGGGTCCTTTTGTAGCCAGCTGAGGCCCAAAAGGGGCATAAAGTGCCCCTTCAGGGCCCTTTTCTTCACCCCCCATTTAGGTCACCCCCTATTACCACCCGCCCGAGTACTGGGGAATGGGGTCGCCCTGTCGGGGTTTCGCCGTGGGGGAAGGAACCCTGCCGCGGGCCTGGCAAAGATCCCCTCGGATGGGCGTCCCCGCGACCCCACCCAGTTTTCCACTCTCCCCGAGGAGGAGGAGGAGGAGGAGGAGGAGGAGGAGGAGGAGGAGGAGGAGGAGGAGGAGGAGGAGGAGGAGAGAAGGTGGAGGGGAGGAGGAGGAGGAGGAGAGGAGGAGGAGGCGGAGGAGGCGGTAGGAGGAGGCGGAGGAGGAGGAGGAGGAGGAGGAGGAGGAGGAGGAGGGGGAGGCGGAGGAGGAGGAGGAGGAGGAGGAGGAGGAGGAGGAGCAGGAGGAGGAGGAGGAGGAGCTCAAGCAGAAGCCGCGAGCTGGTAGGGGGCGCCGTCGGCCCCTGGAAGCAGCTCCTTGCGGCCACAGGGCGGCTCGGGGCGCCTCGTTCCCTTCTTGCTCCTCGCAGCACCCCGTCGCCGAGAGCCTTCCGGGGTTGGCCGAAGTCGCGTCATCCCGCGCCTTGCCCCCCCCCCCTCGGTTACATGGAATGGACGCCCGTCCAGCGCCGCGGCAAGCGCGGGGCCGGCCGCCCGCAGCAAGAGCTCGCACGACAGCTCCTTGCAAGCCTCTTCGGCGGTGGAGGCCGCCGCTCGCCGCCGGAGCACCGCCCGCCGCCGGAACGCCGTGCGAAGTGGCGCTGCGCGTGCGGCACGTGCAACTTCGAGACCCGCGGGGCGTGCGGCCAGTGTGGCGCCGCCCGCGCTGGGGCGAAGGCGAGCTGCCCGCCCCCGCCGCCGGCTGCCCCTGCGGGCGACGCCGGCGCAGCCTGGCGGGCTCTGCCAGCCCCCGCCCAGGGGCCCATGCGGAAGCCCTCCGCCAGGCAGCCGCCGCGGCCAGGCGCGCTGGGGCTCCGGCTGCGGTCAGCTCCAGCGGTCCCGGCTTGGGACCGCTGGCGCTGTCCGCGGCGGGCTGTTGCGCTGGATCGCCCGGGACCAGGCGCAGGCGCTGGGCGACGGCCCCGAGGCCGAAGCGGCCGCGAGCGCGCTGGCCCGCCGCTGGAGCGCGGAGCTGAGCTGCGCGCTGCACCGCGCCACAGCGCGGCAGCTCCGCAGCGCGCTCGGCCAGGAGCGCGAGCTGGCGGCGCGCGCCGCGCTGGCGGCACAGCTGGCCGGCTAGGCCAGCTGGGCGGCGCGTGGCGCTGCACTACCAGGTCGTGGAGGAGGGCTACTTTGTCCTCGCGGTGGCGTCGGCGTCAGAAAGCGCGCGCGTGGCACAGACTGCGTCGGCGCTTGCAGGAGGAGGGGGAGGCGGAGGAGGAGGAGGAGGAGGAGGAGGAGGAGGGAGGAGGAGGAGGAGCAGGAGGAGAGGAGGAGGAGGAGGAGGAGGAGGAGGAGGGGGAGGCTGGACCTCTCTTCTCGATGGGCAGTGAACCTCCTGCTTTTGGAGGAGGAGGAGGAGGAGGAGGAGGAGGAGGAGGAGGAGGAGGGGCTTTGACGGGTCGACTGGGGCAGGGACCGCCGCAGCCTGAGGGCCCAGGCCAACACCCCACGAGTTGGCCCCACCACGCCACGAGTCCGAGATAGCAGCTGCCTCTGCAGCAGGGTCAGAAGCCGCTGCCGCCCACACTGGGGGCCACCGCGGCGGCGCTCGAAGGGTTCGCTGGCGCGGGCGTCGGCGCAGAGCATGAATGGAGGCCGCGGCGCCCGAGGCATCCTCCAGAGCCGGCGGATCTCAAGGATTCTCGATACATCTTCAACCGAGTTGATCCTCGTCCTGCCCCATGGCATCGGGCCCTGGGCACGTCCCGTCGTGAGTTTTGCTGCGACGCGAGGAGAGGGTCACTCAGGAAGAGAAAACACACGCACAAATGCAATGGATCGTCGGCGCCTGGGCGAAGGGGAAAATAGGGGACGGGGGGAAGACGACCTCCCAGAACATCTGGGAAACGATGGGGCATCCTGGGATGCGTGTCTATTTCTTCTGGGGGGCCCGGGGCCCCGTTGGTCAGAGAAGGGACGTGGGTTGGGGAAGACGAGATCCCATGACATGTGGAACAAAATGAGGCATCCTGGGATGTGTGTCGGTATTTTTTTTGGGTGCCCCTGGGCCCCCCCTCTGGCCACAGAAGGTGGACCTCCCCGGGCTGCTCGCGGCCGAGAGCTTCAGCCTGGACCGCGTCCTGGACGAGCTCGGCGCGACAGGGGCCCCGGCGGCGCCCCCCGGCCTGCCGCCCTTGCCGAAGAGAGCGCGCATTGGCCCCGGGGCTTTGCGCTCAGCGGTGGCGGAGGAGGAGGGGGAACAGGGAGATATCCCCTCAAGCAGCACTGGGAACCAAACTGTCTTGAGCCTAGTGTCGGCGCAATAGAGGAGCACAAAGGGAGGAGCGGCCTCAGACGGTGATGATGACCTTTGATGACCTTTTGCCAAGGAGCAATGCTGCTTGCTCCGCTGGCGCCCGGCGCATCACGCGCCGGCGCCGGTCTTAGGCCACGCGTCGCGGGCCACGCCGCCGCCAAGGCACTGTAGCGCCGTGGCGGCCTCGAAAAAGTCCAGAACAGGGCGGGTAATGAGGCCCCCAACGGGGCCTCAAGGGTGGGCCAGCTTGGCCTCAAAAGGCTTGAGCCGCCGAATGGCGGTGGGAAAGGAGGGGGAGAGAGGGCAAGCAAGAGGCAAGGGCAGGAGCGAGGGGACCAAGGGAGAAGCCCGCGCCAGTCCTGGAAACGGGGAGATCAATCAGTTTTACCAAACATCCTAGATATCCCCTCAAGCAGCACTGGGAACTAAACTGTCTTGAGCCTAGTGTTGGCTCAAGAGAGGAGCACAAAGGGAGGAGCGGCCTCGGACGGTGATGATGACCTTTGGTGACCTTTTGCCAAGGAGCAATGCTGCTTGCTCCGCTGGCGCCCAGCGCATCACGCGCCGGCGCCGGTCTTAGGCCACGCGTCGCGGGCCACGCCGCTCATCTCCTCCTGTGAGTACTCCACCACGCCGAACTGGCTGTAGTGGGTCACGCAGACGCCGAACTTCCCGGCGTGAACTAAGCAGTCCCGGCTTCTGCGGCACGCTGCCGCTTCCGCCCATCAAGGTGAGTCCGCAGGCGCAGGGCGGCACGCCGCCGGCGCCGGCGGGGGTTCTTCGTGCGCCCAGTGCGGCAGCCCGGCTGGGCTAGCCGCCGGCGCCTCTCGTATCCGCCACCGCCGTCCCCCATGACGGCACTGCCGGAGCCAGGCCGGCGCGGCGCTCTGCCCTCAGGCACCAGCTGCCGCCGCCCGCGCCCAGCTGCTCGCAAGCGCAATGTTGATCGCGAGCGCCAGGCTGAACTCTGCCGGCGCCGCGTGGCCGCCCGCACGGCTGTTGCCGGCGGCGGACCTCTGCGGCAAGCTGCCACGTCCGCCCAGCAACGTGGGTCCGCAGGCGCGGGGCGGCACGCCGCCGGCGCCTGCGGGGTTCTCCATGCGCCCGTGCGGCCGCCCTCGCTGGGCTAGCCGCCGGCGCCCCCTCCTGACGGCGCTGCCGGTGCCAGGCCGGCGCGGCGCTCTGCCCTCGGGCACCAGCGGCCACTGCCCGCGCCCAGCTGCTCGCAAGCGCAAAGTGATCGCGAGCGCCGGGCTGAACTCAGCCGGCGCCGCGTGGCCGCCCGCACAGCGGTTGCTGGCGACGGACCTCCGCTGCCCGCCCGGCCATTGGCCGGCGGCAGCCTCGCACCTCGGTGCAAGGACACGCTGAATATGGTTGTGTTGTTTGTTTTCTTGGTTGGTCTGGGATGCACGGAAGCACTGCGTGTGTTTTTACTTAACATCGAAGACTGATAGGTTTCTAATGGGCTAAAAAGAGAGCAGCACATTACTTCAACATTACTTCAACATTACTCCACAGGGGGGTCTGGGCAGCCGTTGGGGGCAGTTGGGTGGCAGTTGGGGGGCTGTTGGGGTTTGCCGGCGGGGATCGTTTTTCGCATACAGTCACACACTTCGTGCTTTTCGATTTCCCAGAACTCCATTCCCGGGCCACATTTTGGAAGCCCGGAGCTAACTGTAGGCCACTTCGTGGTCTTCGATTTCCCAGAACTCCATTCCCGGGCCACATTTTGGATGCCCGGAGCCAACTGTAGGCCCTTTCGTGCTTTTCTATTTCCCAGAACTCCATTCCCGGGCCACATTTTGGATGCCCGGAGCCAACTGTAGGCCACTTCGTGTTCTTCGACTTCCCAGAACTCCATTCCCGGGCCACATTTTGGATGCCCGGAGCCAACTGTAGGCCACTTCGTGTCTTCGAGTTCCCAGAACTCCATTCCCGGGCCATGATTTTGAATGCCCGGAGCCAACTGTAGGCCACTTCGTGTCTTCGAGTTCCCAGAACTCCATTCCCGGGCCACATTGTTGATGTCTGAGGCAGGCTGAGGCTGAGGCTGAGGCTGAGGCTGAGGCTGATGCAGGCTGAGGCTGAGGCAGGCTGAGGCGGAGGCCGAGGCTGAGGCAGGCTGAGGCTGAGGCTGAAGCAGGCTGAGGCTGAGGCTGAGGCAGGCTGAGGCTGAGGCTGAGGCAGGCTGATGCTGATGCAGGCTGAGGCCGAGGCTGAGGCTGATGCAGGCTGAGGCTGAGGCCGAGGCTGAAGGCAGATTGAGGCTGAGGCTGAAGCAGGCTGAGGCAGAGGCAGGCTGAGGCTGAGGCTGAGGCAGGCTGATGCTGAGGCTGGCTGATGCTGAGGCAGGCTGAGGCTGAGGCTGAGGCTGATGCAGGCTGAGGCTGAGGCAGGCTGAGGCGGTGGCCGAGGCTGAAGGCAGACTGAGGCTGAGGCTGAAGCAGGCTGAGGCTGAGGCCAAGGCAGGCTGAGGCTGAGGCTGAAGCAGGCTGAGGCTGAGGCAGGCTGAGGCTGAGGCTGAGGCTCATGCAGGCTGAGGCTGAGGCAGGCGGAGGCTGAGGCCGCGGCTGAAGGCAGACTGAGGCTGAGGCTGAAGCAGGCTGAGGCTGAGGCTGAGGCAGGCTGAGGCTGAGGCTGAGGCAGGTTGAGGCTGAGGCAGGCTGAGGCTGAGGCTAAAGGCTGAGGCAGGCTGAGGCTGAGGCAGGCTGATGCTGGGCCGCTGAGTCGGGCCGAGGCTGTGCAAGACTGAGCTGAGGCTGAGCAGGCTGATGCTGAGGCCTAAGGCAGGCTGAGGCTGAGGCTGAGGCGGCTGACTGCTGCGGCAGGCATGGGAGGCTGAAGGCTGAGGCTCAGGCAAGTCTGATTCTGAGGCAGGCGGAGGCTGAGGCCGCGGCTGAAGGCAGAACTGAGGCTGAGGCTGAGCATGCTGAGCTGATGCTGAGGCAGGGCTGAGCTGAGGCTGATGCGGCTGGAGGCTGAGCAGGCTGAGGCTAAAGGCTGAGGCTGCTGTCAGCTGAGGCTTGGCGCAGCTGAGGCTGAGGCGGAGGCGAAGCAGACTGAGGCTGAGGCTGAAGCAGCTGAGGCTGATCTGATGCAGGCTGAGGCTGAGGCAGGCTGAGGCTGAGGCCGAGGCTGAAGGCAGACTGATGCTGAGGCTGAAGCAGGCTGAGGCTGAGGCTAGGCTGAGGCTGAGGCCGAGGCTGAGGCAGGCTGAGGCTGAGGCTGAGGCTGATGCAGGCTGAGGCTGAGGCAGGCTGGAGTTTTTGAGCTGAGGCTTGATGCCGTCTGAGCTGAGGCAGGCTGAGGCTGATGCCCAGGCCCGACGGCAGACTGAGGCTGGAGGGCTGAAGCACAGGCTCAGGCTGAGGGCCGAGGCAGGCTCAGCTGAGACTGAGGCAGGCTGATGCGAGAGGCAGGCTGATGCTGAGGCTGAGGCTGAGGCAGGCTGAGGCTGAGGCTGATGCAGGCTGAGGCTGAGGCAGGCTGAGGCTGAGGCGGAGGCTGAAGGCAGACTGAGGCTGAGGCTGAAGCAGGCTGAGGCTGAGGCTGAGGCAGGCTGAGGCGGAGGCAGGCTGAGGCTGAGGCTGAGGCAGGCTGAGGCTGAGGCTGTGACTGCGACTGCCGTTGCCACTGCGACTGTCATCGCGAATGCGACTACGACTGCGAGAACAGCAGAATTCTACAACTAGATTCTCATCCGAATCTTAAGGGGAATGCTTCCAGATGTGCTCCTACACATCGATGTTAGGTTGCTTTGCGGGGAAAATTGTTTAGGGTGGGGGGGTAGGGCTCCAGAAGAGAAGGAGGTGCTGGAGGGGAGGCCGCGGGAAGCACGTGAGCTTCCAAGACCAGACCAAATCAACAATACGCAGTGCTTCATTGCATCCTAGACCAACAAAGACTCAACACAACAAACTACAGCGTTATCATGCACCGAGAGTACCAAACGCTGTGTATTAGTGGGTGTGTTCTGCTACAGAGAAACGGAAACGGACAGGAGAATGAGGAGGAGGATGACGGGCGAAGAGGAGGAGGAATTGTGTTTAGAGAAGGGGGGGAAGGAAAGGAGAACGAAGAGGAACGGATAATGAGGAAGAGGGAGGAGGAGGAGGAGGAGGAGGAGGAGGAGGAGGAGGAGGAGGAGCGGAGGAGGAGGGGAGATGATAATGAGTTGTTCACGCTTCGCGAATCCCCGCCAGCCCATCCTAAAACAGCCACTTGAGGAAAGAGTACCGACTGTCGGGATGTGTTGGTCATCTTTTCAGCAATGATGCCCAGAGGAGTTGCTTTGATTCGATCAGGGAAGTGTGGGAGCATACAGAGAAACGAAGGACAGGGGATGCCGCCATATCCCAAGAGGGGAGGATGGAGGAGGAATCGGGGGAGGAGGTGGGGGAGGGGAGGAGGGAGGAGGAAGAGGGGGAGGCGGACGAGGAGGGGAGGACGAGCAGAAGGGCCAGAGGCCTCTTGGATGCATCGCGGAGTCTCTTGGGATGTCTTTTGGGAGCCTCTTGGAGGCCTTTTGGGGCGTCTTGGGGGCCTCTCGGCGGCCTCAGGGGCTTTAGGAGCGTGCTTTGCTCGTCCGCCTTTGTGGGGGGCGAGCCTATCGGTCTTGACTCTTGGGAAGCATATATCTTGGAGGCCGTTTTGGGCGTCTTGGGGGCCTCTTGGCGGCCCCAGGGGCTTCCAGGAGCGTCTTGGGTGCCTCGGGGGAGCCTCTTGGGGGCCTCTTGGGGGCATCTTGGGGGCCTCTTGGAGGCCTCTTGGGGCCTCTTGGGGCTCTTTGGGGCTCTTTGGGAGGGTCTGTATCTCGGGGGCCATCTTTTTCGGTTTTTTTTCGGTCGTCTTTTTTTTCTTTCGGGAGGGCGATCGATCACGGATGGGGCGAGCCATTTTTTTTTTCCCCATTTTTTTTTTTTTTTTCTCCCTCCCCCCCCGCCCGTCCGGGGTCGGTCGGGGGGCGGGCAGAATCCTCGTGAGGGGTGTCGAATTTTAGCCCTCCCAGGAGTCGAAAAAGACCCCTCCAACCACCCGCGGAACGCCCTCTCCAGGCCCGGGGGGAGGGGGTAGGGGGAGGGGTAAACCCCTCCCCGAAGGGGAAGAAGGGGGTTGAGAACAGAGCGGGCTCTCTAAACCACTCACGCCCAAAGGGCTGGTGGGATACGACTCAAGACGGGATGTATGATCTTCGCCCCCCCCCCTCCAAAGATCAGACATCTCGTATTGAATCGTAATGCGTCCTCATTTCCCCTTATCCTCCTTCTCCTCCTCTCCTCCTCCTCCTCCTCTTCCTTCTCGTCCTCCTTCTCTGTTCCTTCTCTTTCTTCTTTTTTCTCCTCATCATCATTGCTTGGCGTTTCTAGTTCCACATCCTCTGCAGTCCTCCTCCTCTTCATCATCATCAGCATCAGCATCATCATCATCATCATCATCATCATCATCATCATCATCATCATCATCATCATCATCATCGACATCCTCATCCTCATCCTCATCCTCATCCTCATCCTCATCCTCATCATCGCCGGGATCGCACTCGACTCATCTAGCTCCTCTTCTTCCTCACTCAGAGTATAGAGTTCGTCCTTCTCCTCCTTCCCCTCCTCCTCATCATCTCCCTCCTGAGGGGAGAGAGGGACTGGGATCCAGCGCGAGAGAACACTAAGAAGCATTGCACTGCCCCGCCGCCCCCAGCCCGAGGTTGCACTGCCCCGCTGAAGGAGGATATGAGGATGCGGGGGAGCGACGGAGATCGGTGAGCAGATGAGGGGAGGACTGCATGATAAAAAGTGGAAAGCCTCGACGCCAAGGCAACTGGTATGATCACAGGGGGCGGGCATACATATATATATATATATATATATATATATATATATATACATACATGGGTAGACCTGTGTGCATGTAGATGTACGTATGCATGTAACTATGTATGTGTATGGATGCATGTATGTATGAGTGCATGTATGCATGCATTCATGCATGCATGCTTGCATGCTTATAAACACAGCATGTGTATGTGTGTATGTATGTAAATATATATGTGCATACGTATGTATGTATGCATGCATGTATGTGTGTATGTGTATGCATGCACGTATGGATGTGTGTATATGTATACGCATGTATGTAGGTATGTATGTATCCACGTGTATGCCACCCGTATACGTGTAATCATACATGTATGCATGCATGCATGCATGTGTGCATGTGTGTAGGTAAGTGTGCATGTGTGTATGGATGTGTGCATGCATGCATGCATGTGTGACTGCAGACCGTCATGGTTGTGTGCATGTAAATATGCACACGTATGTGTGCATGCATGCATGTGTATGTGCGTATGTATGCGCACATTCATGTATGTATGAATGGTGGGATTACTGCATGTCTGTGAGTATGTATGTGTGTGCACATACATGTATAGATGTATGCACGGATGTGTGTATGCATGTGTCGTTGTGTACATGTGTGATGATGCATGTGCGTGCACGTATGTATGTGTATGTGCCTGTGTGTATGGATGGTTTATATACATTTGTGTATGTGCATGCAGATGTGTATATGTATAAGTGTATGTGTGTAAGAATGTATGCCTGCATGTATGCGTGGTTGTGTACGCATGTATGAATTCATGGCTGTATATGTGCATGCATGTGTGTATGCATGTATGCGTGCATGTATGGATATATGCGTGTGCGCATGTGCGTAAGCATGTGTGCATGCAGGCATGTGTGCATGTGTGTATGGTTGCATGCATGTATGCATGTATGCATGCATGTATGTCTGTATGACTGCCTTCATACGTGAATATGGATGCATGCAGTTGTGCGTAGATATGCATGTATGGATGCACGTATATATACATGCATATATAGATGCATATGTACATTTGTATGTGTGTAAAGGTAGGTAGGTGTGTAGGCAGACAGACAGGCAGGCATGTATGTATGTATGCATGCATCAGACAGGCGCCTCATAAGAAGCAGCTTCCTTCTAAGAAGCCACCCCCCTCTCCCTACCCACCCCTGCGCGCTGCCAAGCCCTGGCCCCGTTGTCGCCTTTCGCGGGCCCCCCTGAGGGCCCTCGTCGCCACAGCCAGCTTCGCCTCGACGTGCTGGTCAGAAGGCGCCCCAGTAGAGGTCCAGGGAGTAGCGGCATCGGTATGTGTTGGCTTCCGCAGAGGAGCGGGATCTCGTTGGCCGCGAGAGGTTGCGGAAGGCCGCGGGGGAGGCTTTCCCACGGAGGATACGTAATCGTATCCCTTCGAGGTCGGCTTTTTGGGGGAAGGGAGGGAGGGAAGCTGTGAGAACGGGCGAGGGGGGAAGACCGAGAGGAGGAGCGCGAGGAGGGCGGGGGTGAGGGGGAGGGCGAGGGTGATGGGTCATGGGCCATGGCGGCACGTGGGGGAGGCTCGGGAGGGGCAGGATTAATAAGATGAGGAGGGGAAGGGGGAGGAGGATGGAGTAAGAGGGGATGAATAAGAGGAGAAGGAGGAGGAGGAGGGGAGCAGGATGAGTCAGAGGGGAAGGTGAGTAGTGAGGGAGGAGGAGAAGGGGGAGGATGAGGAGGAGGAGGAGGAGGGGAGGATGGAGGAGAACATGGAGGAGAAGGAGCAATAAGAGGAAGGCCTTCTCCTCCGTCCCTCCTCTTTCCCGTCCCGTTTCGCGTTCCTCGTTGTCATTGTGTTTCGGCATCCCCTCCTTTCCTCTCCCTCCGTCTCTTCCCGAATGGGGGGGGGAAGGGGTCGCCTGAGGCCCTGGACGTGGTGCGGTCGTCCTTCTCGCCGAAGAGCCGCCACGACAGCGACATAGGCACCTTCACGGTGACGCTCGAAGGAGCAGATACCAGATCATCCCTAAGGGGGGGGGAAAGAGGGCAGGAGTGCGAGGAGGGGTGGGAGGGTGACAAAAAAGGGGCAGGCAAGCCACAAATGCGCGCCGTAGCCGGCATCCTACCCTCCTCCTCCTCATCTTCCTCCTCCTCCTCATCCTCCTGCTCTTCCCTCCTCCTCCTCCTCCTCCTCCTCACTCCTCCTTCTCCTCCTCCTCCTCCTCCTCCTCCCCTCCTCCTCCTCCTCCTCCCTCTTCCCTCCCTCTCCTCCCCCTCCTCCTCCTCCTCCCTCCTCTCCTCCTTCTCCTCCTCCTCCTCCTCCTCCTCCTCCTCCTCCTCCTCCCTCCTCCACAATTACACACTATGAATACTACTTTCCTCCATCCACTGATGGCGTGCGGAAGATAGCGGGCACCCCTCCGCGTACTGTTTTTTACACACAGGATGTCCCGGAGTTGGGTTTTCGCTTGGGTTTGTTTTCAAAATGATGCTCTCGCTGAGACGCGGGCTTCATTTTGGGGCTTCCGCTCGTTCCGAATCGTGCTCCCGCTGCAGCGTTGGCCTCATTTCCGTGCTTCCGCTCGTTCCGAATCGTGCTCCCGCTGCAGCGCTGGCCTCATTTCCGCGCTTCCGCTCGTTCCGAATCGTGCTCCCGCTGCAGCGCTGGCGTCATTTCCCGTGCCATGCCACGGCATGCAATGCAATGCTAGGTTGCGTTCCGCTGCGCGATGCCATGCCTTCAGCTGCAGCTGTCATATCCAGTGCGTAAGTGCCACGTCGTGCTATGCCATGCTACGCTTTGATCTTCAACGCCATGCTATGCAATGTTATGTTCGGGGCCGCTGTGCGATGCCATGCTTTGCGTTGCAAGCTTTGTGATACAATTCTTCACTATGCCACGCCACGCCATGCTGTGACATACTACGCTTTGCGGTGCTCTTCTACGCCATGCCATGCCGTGCTCTACAATGCATCGCGTACCCTTTCGGGATCATTGCCCTGCTCGACATCCGACTGTGCGAGTAGGGAGGGGATCTACGCCAT